CGTTGCAACTTCCGTTACATCAGTTCGTGGACTTCCTGACTAGATACCCAGTCAACCAGCTTTCATCTACCTTGGATCTCCTTTTTTGCGAAGTCACGATTTCGTAAGTTATATTACGTACGGTTTTCCTCTAGAAGTCAGTGACCATGTATGCATATCCGTTCGAGGTGCTCTAACTAGGTATAATCAAGCTACCGCTGAAGGTTGTCACAATATTTGGCGGGCAGATTTTAACCCAATGCAAAAAAGCTTCGGTTCTAAGTTGTGCGATCACCGTGACTTATCAGGATGAGACTACCTAGGACACATGTAAGTTGAATCTCAAAGAGAGCTTTACTCTCCACATCCCACACAGTAAGAAACGGGTGACATGGGCGCAGCCTCCTTGGATATATCATACAGGTAAATAACTGCTCAGAAAGCGCTGTTAGTGCTGGCGTACGTACCAAGCTGTTCAGCAATCAGCACCTACGAAAGTTATCGAGCTGTTAAAAGTCTATATACAAAACCTGTTAGGACTATTCGTCTACAGTACGAGGAGGACCTGGATGACGCAGCTGCAAGAAATCCAACGTTCTTTGCTTACGTAAAGAGATGCAGCTGTGCATGCCCGTCTATGCTGTCTTTACTACGAGCGGACGGGACACATAAGTGTACCGACTACGCTAAAGCTTGTTAACTTAACGAACCTTATACTGGTGTCATTTCGCGTAAGGCGACTCTACCTCAGGTTAAGCTGGTTCCATAAGCCCCGGAGGCTTCGTGCCTACCTTAAAGTGGCATAACGGGACCCAAGTCTTCGGGTTATTGCTAGGTCTAAATCCTTCCAAATCTTCTGGCCCTGATTAAATTCAGCCGAAGTTGATGCATGAATTGGCAGCTGAGCTAAATGGCTATCTAACATGCTTGTTTGCCTTCTTGCTCGAAAGCTGTGCCTTACCTGCATCTGTCCAAAATTTTGGGGGCGGTGACAAAGCTCTTCCCGCGAACTACCGACCAGTTAGCTTGACAAGCGTAGTAGCTAAGTTGTTTAAAAATTGGTCAGGGATTCGGTAGATAAACACCTAAATGATTTAACCTTCTCAGTGCGGCACAGCACGGCTACCTTAATGGAATTTCGTGTCTGACAACTTTACTTGTAACCCGTGGAAGCCAGGCTGAGCCAGTAGACAACGCTCGCGCTACCGACCGTTTTTCTTTACTTCGCAGAAGCATATGATACTATACTACATCAACGACGCTAACTGAAGATGAGATCGTAGGGATACTTAAGGGCGCTCTTAAATTGATGTCTGCTTTCCTAGATGGGAGAGAACAGTTTATACCAGTCGGACGTAGCCTTTCGGCTAGACAAACTGTTGTTATTGGTGTTCCGCGTGGCTTGGGTTTAGCGCCGTTGTTTTGCGCCATTTATCTCAATGACTTACCCCAGGAGCTTGAAGTATCGTCACTATTGTTTCCTGATGTCCTTAAACTCCGGAATATTGTGGATTTCCCTCGGGAGCTGAGGCAATTCATAATGCCCTGGATAGACTCGGGGATTGGGCAAATTTATGGTGGTAGCCTATAAAACAGGCGAAATGTTCTGTCCTCCTAATCGGGGGTGCTAGTCGCACCACGTGCTGTGTAGTTTGTGGAACTAAAATCCTCGTCGTCACTCAGTGCATTGATCTAGGTTATCGTCCACACCTTAGTGCTTCACTCTGGGTCAATTGGAGGAAGGCTGCTTGTAGAGGATTTCTTATGATGTGGTTTATTCGCCGAAACTTCGATGTCCTAACGGCCAATCTCTTTGTAATGTTGTTCTAAGCCTTTATGCAACCCTTACTTAGAATACCGTATCCATGCTTGTCCACCTTGTCTTGTAAGGGGTGAATTGAAACTGGAGCTTTTTCGCGTGAGTTCAAGGTTAGTGCACGGATCCCGGGGGCAAGCGTAGTCCGAACTTTTGCTTAGCTTGGGTATGTACTCAATGCAGTATCGCAGAGTTATGTGAAAACGGAACCACAGTCACAGTTTTCTAACTGGTATGCTCTTTCCAGTCTTGTCCTGTCTATTTAGTCCCACAAAGCGGTAGTATCTCCGAGGTCACCCGTTGAAGCGCACAAACTGCGTTCTGACCGGGTAAGAACGGAAACGCGCTTGTCGTGCGTTACTGAACGTTGGAACGCGCTTCCGGAGCACATCGATAGGGAGCCTACGGTTGAGTGTTTCCAGCGTCAATTAGATCCTCGTGGCTGGCAGTACCAAAACTTCCTTTCTCCTAACCGACATTTATCTTCAAATTTTCGTTCGTTACTTGCTTAAATTTCTACTCACACCTTGGTATTATCATTATTTCGCTGACATTCCTCCTCTTGTTTTCCTAGCTTAAGCTTCACTGTTACTTCTCATAAACCGCCTGGCAGCGACCGCTGGGCTGGAAGATATGGGTTGTATCTGGAAGAACAGGGTGTGCTGCGGTAGATGGTTAAGCCCTTTAACATCTGAATGCAAAACAATGAACATTCCTGGGGTTATTCCATTGTTCTGGCCCCAACTGAAGTTGAACTTCAGGGGCACAAGAATATGTGACGGGATAAGTCCCTGGCAGCACAAACCCCCACAGTCGACGACCAATGGAACTACATCGCCGCTCACATCCACGACGCAATTAGGGCACACGTCCCCACAGTGCGCGCTTACGCGCCGAAACGCCACAGGCAACTTCAGCCTGCAACGCTTAGGCTGATCAGGGAGAAGAGGGCCCTCTGGAACAGATTCTTACTTTTTGGCGACTCTGATTCGCGAGCACAATACTGTAGAGTGCGAAATTCCTGTATAGCAGCTGCTCGCCAGGACAGAAAAGCGTACCAGCTCTCTTTTGCTAAAAGCTTCGCCGATAACCCCAAGGTCTTCTTTAAGCATACAGCGTCTCTCGCTAAATCGCGCGCTGCCGTTGACAGCCTGCTCAGACTCGTAGGCGATAACACAACCTCGGACAAAGAAGCTGCGGAATTGCTGAAGACTCAGTACGGGTCCGTTTTCGGCACCTTCGCACGCAGTACAATGGAAGGCGCTAATTTTACCCCCATCGCTGCCAGACATCCCGTGCAGTTTACATCAGAGAAAGTCCTGGAGAAATTAAAAAAATTAAGGACAGACAAATCGCCGGGTTTGGATGGGATCCCTCCCATTTTTCTACGTGAGTGCGCTACGGTACTGGCGAGCCGCTTGCCTTACTGTACAGCCGCTCCTACATCAGTGCCAAATACCCGAATGTTTGGAAGCAAGGGGTCATAACGCCGAAATACAAGGGTGGTGACAGGACAAACCCCTCTAATTATCGCCCGATAGCACTGCTTCCCACTGCCTCCAAAGTCATGGAGAGTATCATGGACGATTTCTTGCTCTGCCATTTTGAAAGTCTGTCCTTAATAGCCCCGGAACAGCACGGGTTCCTCAGGGCTCACTCGTGCACCACCAATTTTCTCGCAGCCCTTGATTCCTGGACTGCAGAGGCAGACAATCATACTCCAACCGACGTGGTTTACGTGGATTTCTCAAAAGCATTCGACCGGGTCAATCACGCACTGCTGTTGAGTAAACTGCCGAGTTTGGGGCTCGACCAGCAAATAATCTGCTGGCTAAGTACCTACCTGTCTGGCCGCACCTACCGAGTTCGTGTGAACGGCGCACTCTCCAGCGCTCTGGCTGCAACGACCGGGGTGGCCCAGGGATCCATCCTCGGGCCCCTGCTGTTCAACTTGTTCATCAAAGACCTCCCATCCTGTATCAGCAGCCACATTCTGCTTTATGCGGACGACGCTAAGCTATGGCGACTTATCCGCAGGCCAAGTGATCAGGCACTTCTCCAGACAGATATCGATGCTGCTTATTCTTGGGCCTCGAAAAATTCGCTCCCCTTTAACATCGACAAGTGCAAAGTCATGCACATTGGGCAAGGTGTGGCTGATCCGTACAATATCGGCGGTGTGCACCTTAAAGCCACATCCCAGGAACGCGACCTGGGGACCATAATATCCGCCGACCTGAGCCCAAGCGCCAATGTAGCTACACTGGCGCGAATGACCAGCGCTCGCCTGGCCCTCCTTGGACGTGCATTAGGGTCTTTCCCTAGAGAGACATTTGTCCGTCTCTATAGCACTTTAGTACGTCCGCTGCTGGAGTACAACATACTTGTCCAGCCGCCGTACCTGAAGAAGGACGAGGCCATGCTGAAAACTGTACAGCGCAGAGCCACTAAGAGAGTGGACGGACTATCCCACTTCTCATATGAGGAGCGTCTGGCGGCCCTTAACCTCTTCCCGTTGAAATATCGCAGGCTTCGTGGCGACCATATCTTAGCTTATTCCGTCCAGACTAATAACAGGCACCCAAACGCAGGATTTCTGGTCCGCGCCCGTACAGATAATCTTCGAGGGCACTTACTCAAACTGATGACTCGTAGCAGTCGCCTTCTGTGCCGAAGAAACAGTTTCAGTGTGCGTATTGCCTTCGCTTGGAACGCCCTCCCTGAAGTTGTTGTCTCAGCGCCCAATACGGAGGCCTTCAAACAGCGCCTAGACGCTTGGCTTTTACCTCGCTGGTCTTCCACGTTGCTAAGATCTGGTCATTTGCCAAGCTAACACGCGGCGCTTCAATCATTTTGCTTCCATCCAACTTTGCCGAATTTACCTAAACCACTCTCTTGTTCCAGGTATCCACGTTCCCACAGTCAACTCACGGAATACTTGTGCTGAACACCACTACTGCGTCGAGACCCACAACATCTGTTACCTACCGACGAGATCAGGACGTTGCCGTAAGATCCCGAGGCAGAACCACCGAAAAGCTACGCTTACTCGTTTTGCGCAAACCCGTGAAACCCATGAAACCCGTGAAGTCCAATTTAACACAGAGCATAGAATTGCGCGATTAGCGCGCACAAGCTGATAAATTTTATTTTTTTTGCTGTATGCTCTTTAGTTTACTCTGCTTTTTATGCTCAAAAAATAAGAGCCGAAAGGACGCGCGCGTTATCCGAACTACTGCTGGACTAATTCCCCCCCATCCCGAGATATGGATGCATTCCATTTGCTCTTCTTTACCTCTCTGATTGTTCTGACTTGTCCAGCTGCATCGGACGGACCTACTTCACACCTTGTTCAACTAAGAGATAGTGTTTCCTTCTCCTATTCCGGTGCGAATCTGTTTTTGGATTTGCTCAGAGGAAATGATTCGCCTAAGGTTGTCGTTGAAGTTTTCGTTAATATTATGAGTAAGTTCTTTTTACGGATGTTTGCTCATGTCCTAGGCTCGCCGGACAGCAGGTTATCTTTTCGCTCTATCCAGCCCGTAAGTCCATTTCAGTCTTTTTCCATATGCTTTGTTTCACGTTTCTCATAGTTGTGCTTTATAAGCCCTCATCTTGCTTTTAGAATAAGTATTTAGATTTTTCTGATAGCATTGTGTTCGCCAACGTACCGCTTTATTGCGTTGCATGGTTGCTTATTTTGTGGTTATTGCTAAGAACGAAACTGGTGATCCTCGGATTTCTGATCATCGCTTTTTCTCACCTATCAAGAGGGCGTGGAACCAGTGTACATAGCATACATATTGTCTAGAGTTTTCTGAAATCCGCCTATCGCGAGCATTCCATAGCTGTTCGTCAACGCACTCGCTCTTTTATGGTTCAGATCAAGTCGTGCTATAGTGTCCGCTTTGGACCGTCAAGGAAACCGGGGCGCTTGGTACCTTAGTAATATTCGTCCGGATCGAGTGTTATAAGTTCTTCCGTAAACGACACGCATAGTAGGTTGCGATGGATCTGATGATCTGCAATGGAAAACAGAACGTTGGTAGGTGGAAGTCAAACCCTGCCACCTAGTAATAACTGTCGACATAACGTATCAAGTGCCTGCTGACAAGCCGACACCAGAACGTGGCTGAATAACCGTGAGACACCCAAGCGCATTTAAAGCGGTCCGCCGTGACGGTCAAGAAGACACGACGCGCGCCGGTTCCGATGTGGATTAAAACAGCGCATCGCGTTTCATTTCAACGTCTTATAGACTTCAATTCTTCCTCACAAGAAGTGGAATCACTCTTCGTTCAATCACGTATCATATGATACGAGGTCTCATTTTAGTAGCATGCTCGTCGTTAGGTAGTAATGGGTATAGTTGTCGGATCCAGATAAGCGCTGGGACTTTGTAGTTCAGCAAAGGTTTTGACAAAGTCCCGCATGAACAGCTTTGGTTTATAATCAGAGAAATCGATACTGCAAGCTATTTTCTATCTTGGATCTCCGATTTTCTAGGCGATCGCACCATGCAAGCGAAAATGAACGACCATTGGAGTTCCACAGGGTTTCTCTCTCGGCCCCGAATTTTTCAATGTTTTATTAACGACCTGAAGCTGTGAATGGAGATATCCAGCCTAGCAGATGCCGGCAGATACAGTCTACTCGCGATTTTCTCCACGATTGCTCAGTAGAGTGGCATATGTCAGTGAATCGTGATAAATACTGTTCTTCCAGTTGGTGCATCTGCTGTATTTAGAGCCTACCATATTGGCAGTTTGTTGCTCAGAAACGTCACCCATGAGAAGGTTCTTGGAGTGTCTCCAGGTCTCAACTATATTTTGGACAACGAAAAGGGGGTCTGCTCGGTCTACGGGTCATTTTTTCATTGAACTATAGATAGCAGAAGGAGAATCCTTAGTCACCTTTATTTCCTGATCCTAGCGTGCTTGCCGCGAATCGTTTCGAAGTATATTCCACAAGGGGCCGTAACTGCTACTGTGATAGCAGTTACGTCCTAGCTTACTCTGCAGGTGATAATCTAAAATTCGCTTGAAACATCCTTCACTGGGCGTCGTCCACAAGTTTCGGCAAGTCGTTTCAGTCATTTACATCGCAGATTGATAGAGCGAGTGCAAGACGAACTCGGAGCCTACTTGATCTAAACAGTTTCCAGTTGTAACCCCGAGTAGGACTGTTAGAGTTGACTTTAAAGGACGCTTGCAGGATGCGCCTGTTAAAAATCAGGTCACCGCGATGGCGACGATACTCCATGGAGAATGTTCATCCGCTGAAGTCGAAGGAGATAGGACGAGTACCGTAACTCTGAGATGAATTTCGAAAGACGCCGCTGGACGTTCTCAGTCAGGCCACATTCGTACTTGATAAAAGGACAGCTGGCAAGCAGTCTGTATTCAAGGATCTGACGCACGTAAGCAGTAAACTGGATTCTGAAATTCTCTGGAGTCATTCGCGAGGAAACTCTCTGTATGGCATCGGACATCCTGTTGGCAGCGGCAAACATCCGTAATGTGTCCTCTGTCGTCCGTAAATCGTATGACACAAGCACACACGGGTCCTCCTTAAGAACGGTGATTCTGAGTAACACCCCACGAATATGGTACGTTCCGAATGGTTCACGGACGCCTGTGGGAAGAACTGAGCGTTTTGCGATTTATGAGCAAGCGCTGCTTGACTTACCTGTCATGTAGCATGTCCAGTAACGTCTGCAATCTGTCAGCATCCTCAATGCGGCTTACCTCCATCCACAGCTTCAAGTCATCGGCGTAAATCAAGCAGTTCCGACGAGAGGTCACTGATGAAGATATTAGGGACTTCTGGACCAAGGGCGGATCCTTGCGGGACACGCTTGTCATGAGCACAGTGGCGGGGTAGGCTTCATTCACCTTGACCCGCGTGGTCCGGCCATCTAAGAAATCAGGATCAAAGGAAGAACGTTCCTAGAGACACCGGTTTCTCGGGGTTTAAGTAGGAGTTTTTCAGGGGGGATCTTGTCAACGCCATGTTGAAGTCCACAACAACAACGACATCCAGGCGTTTTCCAACATCTAATTACCTCGCTCATTGCTTCACAGCAACAAGTAGGATCGAGGTACACGACCTTGCCCGCCGAAAAGCATGCTGTGCGACAAATGACATTTAGGTCTTCGAAGTAAAGATGAAGCGCCTGCTTGAGAATCCTTCCCATTACTTTGCGCCATAAGGATGTTAAGCAGATAAGTCGATAGTTGGCAGAGTTATGACCATCCTCTCTTCTCTATCTAGATTTAACATTCCCATTTTCCAAGCAATCGGGAGTAGTCCAGCTTCAAGTGGGTGACGAAATATCTGACAGCAGCGGCAGTGTAGTCGGTCACAATCTTGAGAAACAGTGGATGCAGCCCATTGGGACCCAATGAAGAGCTTGGATCTACTTCACGAAGGCCGTTGGAAACGACATCAGCACTAGTTTTCTACGTGCTCGAACGGAAAGGGCTTTATTGGCGGAGTGTCACCGGATAACGTCGTTTGTCGCGTAGGCGGATGGATACAACAGGGACAAAAGACTGACTTTCGCCGCATCCTCACCAAGTACGCTGATATCTTCCGAGGACTATAGTGCAAGAATGCCACTACCAGCTTTGGTACTTTATTTAGGTAAGAGAAGAGTATCTTCGGTGTTGTCCTGGGTTGCACAGCCCGATGGAGTTCACGCCGTTTATTACTTATTTTTCAAGATACGGACCTTCCTAATTACATGCTAGTCCGAATAGTTACGCGTGAAGTGCATGGACTTATATCGGCTCCGTAACTTGCGTCTTTTAGTCACTAGGCACCTCACTTCTTGGCCTCTGGTAAAGGTTCTCCTTTTGCAAATAGGACCGTCGTAACAAGACTGGACCTTAACGTAATGCGACGGTTTGCTTACCTCATTGACCCATTGAGCTATACTGGGTGATGCCTCCAGGCACCTTAAGAGCTGCTCCAACCAGGTTGGTCAATGGTGAGAGGTCAGACAAACTTAGTCTCCTGGTCCTCCAGGTTAAGGGGTTTGAAATGTTATGACGTCCATTTCTGTAAAACTAGATCATTGCCATCTCCCCACTGCCTTGCGGACAGACTTATGAGCCAAAGGCTTTGGTTGAGGAACCTATTTGTCCTGTCTAGGTCTGGGCGCCCTGTCAGTATCTCAGCCCACATACCACCATGACATTTTCTTCAATCATAAACTTCATCCTGCATCGGCCGTCGCGCAGATGATCAAGGGTCGCCTTATCTTCTGCATACAGCAGGGCGGATAAGCGAAAATATGATACTGCTGGCGCCTCCCTTCTTTCTTTTCCACCTGATTCTCTTACTCCCATCTTTACCCCCATTACTAACCTTTCTTCTATAATTCCCAGCTTAATTGACAGCAACCGAAGTGCCACTGGAGCAACATCTGCAGCCACGTTCTCGCGACACGCACCGGACGCCTATCAGCAATAGTACCTTCTAAGGCCAAGCTGTCCCGTTTCTATGGCGACCTTCAACGTTCGCACAATAAGACAAATAGGTCAACAGACTGCACTGGCACGCACCTTGGACACACTGGGTATTGATGTGTGTTGTGTGTCCGAAACTAGGATTAATGACCCAAACGGGGTTGTTGAATTAACTGCACCCGGCTTATCCTCTCGTTATTGGTTGCGCGCAGCCGGAGACGCCGATGCGGCACTCACGGGTTAAGCTGGTATAGGTATCATTCTAAGCTCCAAGGCTGAGCCATCGTTGGTTGATTGGATTCCGGTGAACAGCCGTTTATGTGCAGCCCGTTTGACGACGTCAGCTAAGGTTGATTCACGAAGTAGTGCAAAACACTGTTTGCTCATGATTTCCGCTTATGCTCCCACCGACTGCAGTTCAAATGCTGTCAAGGACACGTTCTATCACGAACTGAATGCGCCATTACGCAGTGCTACTAGTTCAGATATTATAGTACTTGCAGGGGATATGAACGCACAAATAGGGTGTCTGAGCTCTTCACAAGCTCAGTTGCGTGGTAATTATGGGCTTAACTCCGAACGGACTGACAACGGCGAGTGTCTGCTGCAACTGTGTGTGGAACACCAGTTGTTTCTTAGTGGCACTGCTTTTAGACACAGTGGACGCCGAAGTGTCACTTGGCGTCCTCCTGTAGCTGGCAAGCGATGGACCCAAATTGACCACATAACCATGAGTTACAGATGGCGTGGTTCCATCCTGGATTGCCGCGCGTACTGGAGTACCTGCTTCGGCTCCGACCATGCCTTGGTACGCTGTCGCTTCTCCATGAACTTTACCGGGAGGCTCCAAGCGTCTCCTCCGAATGGCAACTGAGAAATTGTCTCAGCCCTCGGTCAGGCAAGCCTATCAAGACTCACGGCATACCGAACTTCCGCTGTCTTGTCCTAATGACGCTAAGCTTCAGTGGAATAGAATCTCGGCCGCCATGCACGACGTAGGAGCATCTGCTTGTGGCACTCTCACTCAGCACCGCACCAGTCAATGGATGTCGGAGAGGTCGGTGAACCTG